TTTGCGATACGATTCGACTCTCGAAAAACGACTTGCATACGACACCACTCCCGCAATGAGGGTGATTAATACTATGACAGAGAACACGCGGATATTCACCTAATTTACGGTGAAGCTTGCTGNAAATTGGACCCTTCGAACATTGTGTTATTAATACTATGACAGAGAACACGCAGTATACGTCGCATGAATATGCGGATATTCACCTAATTTACGGTGAAGCTTGCTGTAATGCCAGAGCTGCTCAAAGACTCTATGCAGAGCGATACCCCAATCGTCGACATCCGGGTCGTGAAGTATTCTCCCGGACCCATAGAGAAATATATGAAGGTAAGTGATTTCTGCGCCTTTCTTGTTTGCTTGCATGTTAACTATAAGTCGATGGACCTAGTTCCACTTCCTCTAACACAACTTCAACATCTACCGTTGCAGGACGTCCTGTTTCGCCGCCACGCCTTCCAGGTATGCGACCTTAAAAAAGTGAAAAATGTAGTTAACATGCAAGCAAACAAGAAAGGCGCAGAAATCACTTACCTTCATATATTTCTCTATGGGTCCGGGAGAATACTTCACGACCCGGATGGCGACGATTGGGGTATCGCTCTGCATAGAGTCTTTGAGCAGCTCTGGCATTACAGCAAGCTTCACCGTAAATTAGGTGAATATCCGCGTGTTCTCTGTCATAGTATTAATCACCCTCATTGCGAGGAGTGGTGTCGTATGCAAGTCGTTTTTCGAGAGTCGAATCGTATCGCAAATTGCACGTCATTGCCTAAAACTTCCATTCGACTAGTGTATTAAAACGGAAAAACTTGGCAGCACTGTATAGTTTTCGACGATTTTCGACATTTACTTATTTCAGCACGACAGTAAACAATGCCAATGTTGTCGAGTCGTACAATTTAGCCTAATTTACGACTTACGCAATGAGGCTGAATAACACAATGTTCGAAGGGTCCAATTTCACAAAACCACTTTCACTAATTCCGGTAAGTAACACAAAATAATGTCAGGAGCAGGTAATAATGTACCTTTGTACTACTTAGCATGTCATTTGACGGTAACAAGAG